TGGTAACGGGTTAGAAGCCAGCGCGCGCGATAGACAACCGAAATAGACGTAAATAGGCGCGATGGGGACTGGGGCGAGCTTGCCCCAGTTTACTGGTGGGGGCGGGTGTTAGGTCTTAACCCCTCAGAGGGACGCCTCGGACACCTGTCCCAGTATTCAGTACCTGCTGCCTTGTGCGTACCAGGTACCGTACGCCATTAGGGGGGGGGGTGTTAGCGGGGTGGAGGATCTAAGATAGGCCTTGTTGGATGAAACGAAAGGGAGGCTGTGCAGAGGGCGGATCTGATGAGAGCGGAGGTGACGGCGATGAGAAGGCGAGCATTCTCAGATGGCAGGCTACGCGGATATCTTAGTGACCACTGCTGGCGCTGCGTTTGGTTAAAGGAGTGCCGGTTGGACAAGGTTCAGCGAATGGAGTTTTCGCACGTGGATTCTTTTACAATTACGATCAACTACTGCGGGGGAAAGATAGTTGGTTTGGGGTGCGGGAGTGTACGTGTAACGGAAGTAATTAAGGCGGGTGCCGTTACCCCGATCGCACGACTTTATTTTTTGCAATGAAAACGAGTCCAGCAGGGACTGGCACTGACGGACCATCGAATCGCATCGCGTCATCGACCCTCTCCCAAAAGCCCCGATGCATCCGTCCCTCTCCTTCCATCCCCCCGCCCCTCTCTCCCACACGCGCTCATCCCATCTCGCCCTCTCCCGTCGCCGCCCGTCTCTCCGCCGCACACTTCCCCGCAAGCCTCCCTGCACGCTTCCCTGCACGCTGCCCCGCCCGCGCCGCCCCACCATGACGGTCGAGACGCTCTTCCTGCGCACGTCGCCGCGCTGGATCACGCTCGAGCCTGCGGGGGCCGCCGTCTCGCCCACCCACCTGCTGTACCTGGACCGGCACACGCTGGCGTGCTCGCTGCGCACGAAGGCGGAGTGCGCGGCCCTGGCCGAGCCGGACACAGAAACGCTAGTGTACGGCCTGGTCGGCCTGCTGGAGTCGCTGCACGACGCGTACCTGCTCGTCATCACGAAGCGCTCCTCGGCCGGCGCGATCATCGAGGCCCCCGTGTGGCGCGTCGACACGCTCAAGGCGATCCCAGTGCGTGGCCCGAAAATGCTGAAGAAGCAAATCGGCCTCACCAAGCCGCAGCTCGCCGAGGAGGCCATGCTCGCCGCCATGGTCAACTCCGCCACCTCGCTCCCCGGCTTCTATTTTTCCCACGCCATCGATCTCACCCGCTCCGCGCAGCAGAGGGCAGAGGTTAGTAGGGATTCGCACGCCCCGGCCACCCCGGACTTTGCAAGGGCCGATTTGAGGTTTGTTTGGAACCGCTACGCGGCGAAGAAAGTCGCAGAGCAGGGCGCTATTAGCTGGATAGTACCCTTGATTTTGGGGTATGTCGATGTCAGGAATGGGTTGGTTAACGGAAAGGCCGTCCAGTTGGCCCTGGTTTCGAGGAGGAGCCCCGATCGCCCAGGCTTGAGGTATACCGCTAGAGGCGCCGATGTGCATGGCAATTGCAGCAATTTTGTCGAGACGGAGCAGATTGTGTCGCACGGTGATTCATATTCGAGCTACATTCAGTTGCGGGGAAGCATTCCCCTTCTGTGGAAGCAGGAGGCATGCATAAAGTACAAGCCAACCCCGGTGCTAAAAGAGGTCGATGCTGGAGGGAAGGGCGGCCTGGGGCAGATGGCTTTTGAAAAACATCTTGATTCCCTTGTCGACCATTATGGCCCGGTCACTCTCATCTCGCTTATCGAAAACAAGGGCATTGAATCAATTCTCCATTCCGCTCTTAGCAACGCTGTCGACATGATGGCAAATCCAAAGCTGCACTTTGTGCCATGGGACTTCCATAAAAAGTGCAAGGGCATGAAGTATGAGAGGGTCGACCACGAGCTCTTACCGATTATCGACTCGGACCTCAACGCCTACAGCTACTTTTATACAAAGGATGGCACGTCTGCCAGCATCACAAAGCGCCAACGGGGAGTCGTTCGCGTCAACTGCATTGACAGTCTCGATCGAACAAATGTCGTTCAGAGCGTTGTTGCACATCGCATCATGGATGCCGCGCTACAGGTCATGGGCGTGCTGGATAGCAATCCAGAAACTGGCACAGCCGCCAAGTTTGACGCTTTTGAGAAGGCTTTCAAGAATACATGGGCTGATAACGCGGACGCGTTATCAGTGGTGTATGCCGGGTCTGGTGCGCTGAAGACCGACTACACACGGACGGGGAAGCGCTCAAAACCGGGTATGGTACAAGACGGGATAAGAGCCGTTCAACGATATTTCTACCAAAACATGTTTGACGGAAGGCGGCAGGATGGCATTGACCTGTTGCTTGGTGTCGTTGTTATTCCAAAGTCCTCCACTGCTGCGAAGGATCTCTCGTCTATCATGTCGAAGGCTGAACCTTTGGTAGTGAAGGAGAAGTTTTTGCCACATCTGTGCTTGCTCTGTCTCATTGTAGCTGTTGTGGGCTCCATCGTCCCACAAAGCATGGTCATCAAAGGTAGTGTAGCTGCTGCTGGGTTGGCCGGCGCAGGTCTGTTCTTTAGCATGATGCTTGCTGTGGGACATAAGCTTGTGTCGCGACCCAAGTTAGATGGCACTAATTAGGAATATGTAACGAGTAGAAGTTAAAGTAATAAAGACCAATATCTTAACTTTCTTCCTTTGATGAAATTCTCTTGCATACAGCCTCGCATCCGTGTCAAACAGTATTCAATGAACATGCGTCTTCACAAAGAGGTTATCCCTTGTGGTAGAACACAAATGTGAAGAGCGCTCCAGCTAGAACGAGGATTCCTGAACTTGGAAGTAGAAAAAGCCATAGACGCGGTGGAAACAACCCTTTCACCGATGTTATGTCGTCTTGGAACGGCTGTGTGCGCAGATTCGAGCGATTCCGGATCGCAATACGGCCAAGAATTCAGTCAGTCTCACAAAAGTGAATACAAATTTCGCATAGATTGAGTATGTGTAACCGAAGGACGCACGAGTTTCGATGAGGAGCGACTTACCTGCAAAAATGTCCACGCCGTGAAGTATACAAAGACGAGGAGACTGAAAAGGATAAACGAGGAGCCGATGACAACACTGCCAGTTGTCGACGGCTAAAGGAATCGCACGAAACGCTTGCTAGGTTAGTCTGTGCAAATTGTCTTGACGCATACTGTAATATCGCGCTTTCCATTCTTACCATTGTTGAACGGAGGAAGGATGCTTGGTGATGCTGCGACAATTGCTCTCCGTAATCGATGCCCGAGCTTCTGTTTGAGACAGATTCACTGATTTCTTCCAGGATCGGCGAATATGCCGATGGCTCCGTGCAGTACGAGTCAGGACGGGAACGCTAAGCGCTCGCAATGATGTGGTTTTTGTTTGTTGATGGTGCTACGATGATGCGAAAAAGCCACAGATGCACTGTTGGATGATACCCGTGGTACTGTACTTCAGAAAATTCCGAAAAGTGAAGTACAGTATCTCTGGATAATCCATGCTGATTGAAAAATCCTTTCGCCTGGCTGAATGAAACCCTACAGCAGCCTATACCGTTGAGTTCGTTGTCATGAGCGACAAAGGATGCACGAACGGCATGTCCACGAGGGTTGGTCACCGAGCGATGTGTTAGTGTCGGTTCATTCACGAGATCCGCAATAGACCTGAAGCAGGTGGATTTTATTTCTGTACGGACGGCAGTACTTTCTCCATCCATATTCAAAAAGGGTATTGCTCGCCGGGAAAGGAAAATTCTGCCGAGTTAAGTTAACATTCGTGATTGTTGTTTGTCATTAAAAGCAGGCAAGTGGATAGATGAGCGTAAAGACATGGGTTCAGCGAATATCATCGTGATGCTGGCTATATCTACGAGCAGACGAGACTTGATAACGGATGGCCCGCAATGACCGGCTCTCCAGTGATAACGTGTTTTCAACGATGGCATCGACTGCCTCTCGGGAGCAAGCTCGCGACTGTTTCGTCACCTGTCGTTGGGTGCGAAACAAAGGACAACGAAAAGTGTCAAACTCAATCTCCTGTGAAATCTGCGGTGCGGGAGGCATGTGAAGACTTCCTTCGTCGAACCATTGCTACGGAGAACCAGGCATTCTATCAGGAACGAGAGGCATGGAGATTTGATACTCGACTCCACATGCTCAAGGTCCCAAAAGGTTTCAATCTCGTTGTGATCAAACGAGCCTTCAACAGTTAAGAAATTTGGCCAACGTAACCCATGATAGCTTCGCGCGCATGCTTTTCGACCTTTTCTTGCATGATGGGTTCAAATTTGCCTGGGTGTCGATTAGATAATTCCCTGATCTTGTCAGCGAGGATTTTCTTCGGATCCTGCTGACCGATTAAAGAACCAAGAGAGGGGATGTTAGGCACAGCCCATTTTAACTGCGAATGCGACGCTGCGTACGACTCTCCACCACCGAGATGGACCGCTTGTTCCTCTTCTTTATCCCCTGGCTCCTCCTCTTTATCCACCACGATACCTTCCGTGAGCGCCACATTAGTATTCAGCATCTGTGGCCACAACTCTAAGTACGGGACATTCAAACACAGATCATCGGCACCGCAAGCCAGCTCGCTCAAAGCAACAGAACAGAGGCGACGCTGCACTGGCTTCCGAATGGCAATGACTTCTGGAATCCAAACTTGGCGGATGAACATTGCCAGCATGTTTTCTTGCAAGCTATCAAACGTTACCTTCACTACTCGCACGCCGTATCGAAGCACGAAGATAGAAAGTGAGCATATCAATTTCTGGCATAGTTTCGCGGTTTTGGCCCTTTGCACTCGCTCCAGCAGAACCCGGACAATGGTAACCAAGTAGGAATTAATGGTCTTAGCGTCAAATGTCAAGAACACCGAGTCCAGTATTTGCAAGCCCAAGTGGTCAGTGGATTTGGAGGCGAGCAACTTTTGGAATACCCCCAAGATCGGTTGTATTTGGTTCGCAGATACAACTGCGACACTGTTCTTTCGAATGAAAACATCGATGTATTGCACCATCCCTGGCACATAACCTCGTCTATCCCACATCGACGGGGTTAACATAGGAGCCATGAATCCTGCGTAGGTCGCCGGTAGCGCCCCTTTGTGCAACGACATCAGCTGTGCCATCACCTGGAACACATAAGGTCCAAACTCGGTGACGTCGTCTTGCAGAATCTTACTCAACGGCGAAATCAAGGCGGCTTCAAACTTGACGACGGTGTTCTCGTTGCCATTAAATCGGACCAGGGCTGCAATGGCCTCAAACAGGTAATGGTTGAAAAGCGGATTCGATGGATTCGCAGTGACAGCAGCCACAATCTCCACCAACGTTGAGAACAGGGTGTCTAAGAATGGGGCCATAGCCTCTCGAGCCACAGATGAGAGTCTCAGAACGAGACGCATCATGTACTCATTCGCTATCGTATTGTTACGTAAAGAATTGATGATAGCCGGTAGCAGTGACGGTAGAAGCGGTGCCAGATCCTCTTTTGTCATTCTCTGGGCACTTGCAGTTAGGGCAGTATGGCCGGCAATATTCCCATTAGACTGCAGAACCGTGTCGCGTGTCGTCAAAATTCGTTCGATGCACGCAGCAGCATAAGTCCGCACCACAGGCTCTTTCGCGGAGAGCAGTTTCACACAAATGAGGATAACATTCCCGCAATCAGCTTTCGGAATCTGATTCCGGAACGAAATAACAAATTTGATGAGATCAGCGGCAAAGATGGGCGTTTGCAAAGCTAAGGGGTTCTGGCCACATTTTTCCAGCTCCGGGTTGACAAATTTTGCAAAGAAGTCAACCACATCAATCAGTGAAGACGTTTCGGTAGCCCCGCCTGCCGCCGTCCCACGCTTCCATCCCAAAGCCGTGACAACGTAAAGGGCAGTGTCTTTCTTTCGCCAGTCTGACTGCGGAGCCAACATTTCCTTGACGAAAGACGTAAAGATTTCTGTCACCTGCGGCTCAAAATGCTTGCACAAGCCCTTGACAAGCTCCACAGCACCGCGTCTCCTGGTTTCTGTGTCGGAGCCTTCCATATCCCGCCGCACGTATTCCACGGGATTGTCTTCGAACAATTCCTCATCCTCCTCCCGTAGTTCAATGTTTGGCACGACGATACTCGTGCAAATCTGTCCAAGAATTGCCTGGTCCTGGAAGAGTTTGTAGTCAGGACTTCGGGAAACAGCCGTGAGAAACTTGATGCCAGAAGTCACGACGCCGTCATACTTCGGAGCATTGCTTCGCTTCACAAGTAGAGCCCATGCAACATTCAAAAACTCTTGCAAGTAGGGCCTGAATTCCTCGTCGTAGTGCACTGCGAAATGATTTGTAATTTCAAGGACACCCGCATGGACCTTATCAATACAGCTCGCTTCGTCATCCGAGTAAGCATCAATTTTTGCGCTTTCAAACTTCAAAATCTTCAAGAGCTCGGTCATTATACTTTGCATGTGGTCTTCGAAGTACTCTGGCAACTGCTGCCATGACAAACAATAAAACACCTTGCAAAGCAACTCCAAATTGCCAAATACGCTATACACAGATTTCTGGTTCTTGTTAACAATATCGGCCTCGATAAAATTATTCATGAGGACTAAAAGTGCCTGAACCTGTTGCTGCGTACATCTCAAAGACGTATTGATCTCAGTGTACAGCTCATCGGTCCTCGTGCGTTCCGGATATCTTTCGAAAATGACGTAGAGCGTCTCGAGCACGCCCTCAAGCGAGAGCCAATCGACATTAGCAACGACGTCTTGCCCAGGCGGCATGCTGGCGGCCGCCTGAATGATGGTGGTGAGCTTCGCGCCAAGCTCCGGGACGAGGTCGGGCCATGTTTGCGGGTACTCGTGCTCCGCGACGATGGCAAGGACTTCACTGAGCTGCCTGCGGACGGAGACTGGGACGGCCAGCATGATCTTGACGATGGCCGACTTGATGGCGTTGCGGTCATCTGGAGGGGCATCCTTCCAATCCGCGGAGTAGACATTGATAGCGTGGTTCTTCATGTACACGGCAGTCGCTTGGCGCACGTGCGGGGGGGCCGTTTCCAACGCGATTAGCTGCAGAAGGGCCATGGAGAAGCCGGGGACTTTGGCGTTCTCGCCTAGGTACTTCTCCGCAGCCGTACGTTGGGTAGGGTCGGGAGAGAGGGTTTTGGTGATTGCTTCCGCAAGCGTGGCTAGGTCCATCATGATAGTGGTCTTGTTGGGTGTCGACGGGGCGGTTGTCGGTTGATGAATTCAAGGTAGTGGGGCTGTGCTTGTATTGGCAAAGTTGTTTGCAAATGTTGGCAGAAGTTTGTGGTTTTAAAAGGATGGCACCGATATCTTCCACGTCGGTCGTTCCGTTAAAGGCGGCAGAGAAAGACAGTCACTCCAGTGCCTACTCCAGTGGTGCTGCGGATCTCCAGGGCATCGGTGAAATGGGGATGATGTCGGCGAGTAGGGGATGCCCGCCTGCGATACTCGTGTCATTGATCCGAAATGCAGCACACGACGCAAAACGGGCCGAAAGATTTCATTCTACCTCGAGATGTGTACACGACGAACACGTGCACACGTGCACACCGCTGCATTTATTTTTGTGTATGATCATGGCTGAAATGTTTAATTCTTTTTGAAATTACAGTATCAGCGCAGGTTTTCATCTATTGGATGACGCAAAGCATGCAAGTCATCCCATCTCTTCGTCAAGTCATCATCCTCGTCCGGCCGCACAGCTTTTCGGAAGAACTGGAAGAGCCTCTTCCAGTCCTGTTGTCCGTTCCACTGCACTTGACACATTGTCCGCAACCGTCATACTCCCATCCTGCGAGAGGAACACCATTCAGCCAATCTCTCCATTTCTCTGTCGCGGAGTCATTCTGACATACTCCCCAACTTCCCAACCCCTACCCCTCCCTCCGCCAGGCGGCTTCTTTCAGCGCCACACTGTAACACCCCTCCGTCCCGGCGCCCTTCCCCTTCCACACTCTGACCCACAACACCGACCCTCCCTCCTCGTCATCCCCATCCCCTTCCTACGTCATGACCACGACCACCGCCTCCTCTGCCGAGAATGGCATCATGCCATCCCAGTCCCCCATCTCGACTGACATGGTGCAAGTTGTCAACTACGAGGAGGACTTCAACCACGAGCTGCAATCCTTCCTCAACGAGACCCGCATCACCCCGCTGGGCTTCGATTACCACGTAGCCGCCATCATGGGGCCGCAATCCTCTGGCAAGTCCACCCTCCTCAACCTTCTCTTCGGCACCAAGTTCCGTACCATGGATGAGAGCAGCGGCCGCTACCAGGTCACGCAAGGCGTCTGGCTCGGCCGCGACGCCGACGCGGGCATCATCGTCATGGACTTGGAAGGCACGGACAGCCGCGAGCGCGGCGAGGAGGCCGCCAATTACGAGCGCAAGAGCGCCCTCTTCGCCCTCGCCCTCGCAGAAGTCCTCATCGTCAACGTCTGGGCTCAGGATGTGGGAAGGTACAACGCCGCGAATATGTCCCTGCTGAAGACCGTCATGGAGCTTGATTTGCAGCTCTTCTTCGGGGGAGCGGCAGCGGTCCCACCGGAGGGCGCCGAGCACAAGGATAGGATTTCCGAAGGGGGAAAGCCCCGTATGCACAAAACAAGGCTACTGTTTGTTCTTCGAGACCATGTGTCGTCGCCGTTCGAGACCCTATGCAATACTCTGAGAACGGACGTCGACAATATATGGAACACGATTTCTAAGCCGGACGCCGCCAGGGATACCCCGATCACTAACTATTTTGACATTGACTTTTTCGCCCTCCCGCACAAAGTCCTCATGGCTGACATGTTCCAGTCAAAGGGCGCGGAGCTGCGGAGAAGGTTCCATGAAAATGAAGTCTTCTTGGAGGAATACAGCCGCGGAGTGGCTGCTGATGGCTTTGCGGCATATGCAGAGGGAGTCTGGGAGACAATTCGCGCCAATCGAGAGCTGGACATTCCGTCCCAAAAGGAAATGCTTGCGCATGTAAGGTGCGAGCAAATTGCGAAAGAGGCCACGCTACAGGTGGACGAGACTCTGGCACCGATGAAGGCTAAGTTGCTGCCCTCTGACGGTAGCCCTGCCGACGTCGTTGCTGAGTTGTTCCCGACGCTTCTCGCTGCAAGCGACACCGCCGTGGAATCCTACGAGGCTTCGGCATTCCGGTACTCGGCGACAGTGGCAGAGGTGAAGGGGTCGGATATGAGGGCGAAAATTGGAGGGGATTGCAAGGCTCTTTTCGATGCCCAAGTGGCCCTCGCGTCCGATTTGGCTGTCAGCAGTTTCCGATCGCAGGTGTCTGCCTCGCCTGTAGCCTCCACGCCGACGGCCTCGAAGCCGTGGAAGAATTGGGGTGCAGTGTCTAAAGGGGCACTGGACGAAGCATTGAAGAAATTTGATGAGCTTTCTGCGACGGATTCGTTAAGCGCGAGTGCTGACAAGATCAGCGGAGCCCACCCCTTGTCGTTTGCTATCGCGACGTCTTCGGGCGTGAGAAGACGGTTATGTGCTACATTAGATACGGAGATGGAGCGAGCAACGGCGGACGTCGTGTCAACCGCACGAACGTCCTGCCTCAAGACGTTCCAGGACGCCTTCAAGCCTCCTTTGAACACGGTACTGGAGCTCGCGTCAACAGATGTATGGGATAGAGCCTCCGAAGTAGGGAATACTGCGTGGGAAGTAACGGAGAAAGAGGCGCGGAAGGTATACGGCGAAACCGGTCTTGGATTTACCGCAGAGAGAACAGAGGATGCTGTACAGGACGACATCAAACCGATGTGTTACGAGAAGGCATTGACCGACATCAAGGACGCCGTCGGCACGCCGAGCAATTTTCTGCTACGAATGACCAAGCGATTTGATGACGAGTTTCGGTTTGACGAGCGCGGGGTTCCGCGACACTTCGGACCGACGGAGGACATCGAGGCACTGTTCGTGGCGGCACGCGAGAAAGGCGAGGAACTAATCGATCTGCTCGGTGAGGTGAAATTAACAGGCTCCCTGACTACGCTCCGGACAAGTTCGCGGTCGATCGATGACAGTGTCGCAGAGCCTGTGATTCTGGCCGAGCATTTAAAAGCCGATCTGCGAGAACAGCTGAAGCGACAAGCCGGGGCCGTTTTCATGGAGGCCAAGCGCGCACAGGAGGCAGCCAAGGTGACGACGAAAGTTCCTTTGTGGCTGTTCGGGCTGCTGGTGATTCTGGGGTGGAACGAGATCATGATCGTGCTTCGAAACCCAGTATTATTGCTGCTGACGGTCATCATCCTTCCCGTTCTGTACATGGGCTACACGCTGGATGCGCCGACGCTGCTCGGGCCCGCCGTGCGCGCCACGCTGAATCCATTGCTCGAGCAGGCTAAGACGATGTTGGAACAGGCAACGGCACCGGAGGCGTCTGTGCCGACGACATCGGGCCTTTCGGGCTTGAGTAGTGCGTCTTCTAGCACGACGGTGATGTCGGGTAACGAAGCGCTGCACAAAGACTGAGGTTGCGAGGATGGGCATGGTTTGTTTCATGTTGATCCAATGGAATTTACGTAAGGGAACATAGTGGATAGAAATCTGCAACTGTTGTGCAGGTCTTTGACATTTTTTTTTTGTTTCGAAGCGACCAGAGTAGGAAGGTACGCAAGTTGCGCATACGGCTGTCGAGTAAGCAAGATGTAAGAAATGAGTTCAACAATTGGAAAAGGCCAATGCTCGGAGGCGACCTCCGAGATTATACTCGCAACGACCGCAGGGCGCGCAACGACAGGCTCACGAAAAATAGAATCCCCCAGTTGCCGTATGCAAATTTTGCATCTCACACCAATCATTCTGATCCTGAACTGCGCACCTCGCCACCCGCCACCCTCCTCGAACCGTATTTGCTTACCCCCATGCCCACCGCAACCACCCCACCGCCCCGCCACCTTCCTCGGTGCCTCTTCAGAGTCTCTTCAGGGCACCTCCACCCTACCCCCGTCTGACACGTCCGGCCCCCAAACACACACCCACCTTGCACCATGACCCCCGCCTTCCTCACACCTCCCCCCTTACCAGTGCGCTCCACGCGGGCCCGCGCTGTCTCCCCGCGTCGCCCCGTAATGTCCTCCGGCCGTTCACCTTGGCCATTCTCGCGCTTTGTTCAAACCCTGTTGTTCTATTCGCCTCTTGGCCGCTTTCTCCACGGCCCCCCGACCGACCCTGCCGAGCGCGTCCGATCCGCTCGCGTGTCCGCCACGCCGGGCGATTCGGTCGTCCTCGTCACGGGCGCCAACGGCGGCACCGGCCGCCGCGTCGTCCGCGACCTCCTGCGCAAGAAGGGCATCGTCGTCCGCGCGCTCGTCCGCACGGAAGCGAAGCTTGTCGAGGCTCTGGCAAAGGTCGGCGTCGACGCCGAGCAGGAACGCAAGAGCGGCAAGTTGCAGGTCGTCGTATCGGACTTGTTCAACATCCGCCCGGAGTTCTTTGACAACGTCGTCGCCGTCGCGTCCTGTACCGGCGTCAATGTGGGTCCGGCAGACGACCCGGATAGGAGCAAGTACTTTCAGGGCGTCAAGTTCTACCCGCCGTCCATTCTAGACGACACGCCGGAAAACGTCGAGTTTGTGGGCATTGGCAATCTCGTCGAGGCGGCGAAGAAGTACTTTAAGGAGGGCGCGGGGCAAATACCCGTGCTGACGTTTTCGGATGACGAGATCGTGCGCAAGCAGTGGGGGGCCTTGGATGATGTCGTGATGGGAGGCGTGAGCAAGGGGAGTGTGCGCACGCAGAATGGCTGCTTGGTGTTCTCGGGTTTTGTATCGACAGACAATTCGGGTGGGTTTTCGTCGGCTCGCACGACGGACTTCGCCCAGCCGTTGGATGTTAGCCAGTACGATGGGTTCAGGCTGCGTGTGAAAGGCGATGGGAAGAGTTATAAGTTTATCGTAAGGTGTGAGGATAAGTGGGATGGTATTGCGCATTGCTTCACGTTTCCGACCAAGAGTGGCGAGTGGATGGATGTTGATATACCGTTTGACCAATTTCGAGCCGTATTCAGGGCGAAGACACTGCCAGATGGGAAGCCTCTTGACCCGAAGAAGGTGTACGCGTTCCAGGTCATGCTGAGTAAGTTTGAGTATGACGGCGAGCTCAATCCCAACTTTTCGGCAGGGCCGTTCCAGTTGCAGATTGAGTCGGTCTCGGCATACAAACAAAGCGGAGACGGCGTTATACGCCCCAAGATTGTGCATATCAGCACTGCGGCCGTGACGCGCGTCCTGAGGAAGTCGGAGTTTACGCCTGAACAGCTGCCACCCGCCGCCCAGATGAACGATCAGCTCGGGAGGATTCTGAACTGGAAATTTGCAGGGGAGGATGCTATCCGGAATTCGGGAGTGCCATACACGATTCTGCGCCCATGCGCGCTGACAGAAGAAGAGGCTGTGGGGATGGACTCGCTGTTGTTCGAACAGGGTGATACCCTCTTGGGAAACGTTTCGAGGGACGATGTGGCGACGCTCATCATCAAGGCCTTCGACACGCCTGCGTTGGTTGATGTGACTGTCGAAGTGTCAAAGACTGGTGAGGGAGCTGCAAGTCCGGGTCCGTCAGAGCAGAGAATTGATGGGTTACAACAAGATCAGGTGGAATCGAGAGCCTACGCGCAATTTCCATACGTGCCAGCCGTGCTGCAGGAGACTTAGCGGCTTCCTTGTGTTCAGATAGTCCTAGGTACAGTACTTGTTGCGGAATTATGGGATGTAAATGACAATGCCATAGACTCAGGGAATGAGAACAGGCTTTGTCGACCACTAATGATTGTCAATCGACTGCGGAACCCCCGTTTCGATTCATGCTTTCTTTGTGAATAGCACTCGTACGAGACTAATATCTACTCGTTACCATGAAAACTGCAAGCGCTCGCTCAGCGTCATTCAGTGCAGACTTTTGAACATTGGTGCCCTCGGCTCAGTCTACCTTCATGTTGCGCACTGTCTGGGCTTGCCAGAACTGCTTATGCCGAGGCACATGCTCCATCGACGGCTGCACTGCGCGAGCATAAGAGCATCTCCACTCATGTTCCAATTTTTTAAAGCGAATCTCCGCAGGTGATACTTTCCAAATTATGCTGCTGTCAACAGCAGCGTAATTTGGAAAGTATCAACGTATGTTGAGAAGAACACACATTGATCAGTGTGTGTTCGGATTGTCCCAATGGGTCAATCTGAAAAACAACATGCGTACGCTGTCCTTCCCAATAATATCGCATTGCGCTAAAATACCACATATTTTTGATTTCTGTAGACGTCAATGACCAGATCTCCTTGTGGAAGAAAGGCTTCCGGATCTGATCCCAACTGCATTTTCTGCCTGATCTATTCAAGCTGCCAACACGTGATTTCGCACCACTTCATGCACAGGCAAAGTCGCCGCCGCCGTCCATCACGGTGGTACTTAAAGGCCTGTCTCCATCGCAGCTGCCACAACAGCTTCTTGGCAGAGCACGGGAGTCAGCAGCATCGCGAAGCGTACGCACCAGAAACTGTTCGTGCAGTGTCGCTCGAACGGCTTCCTGTGCGTCCGTCCAGCCGTGCGTGCCGCTCTCACGATGCGACGCCGTTGTAGTCTTGCAGCACTGCAGCGAGCGCTCTAGTTTCTGTCACGTAGTGATAGTTAGTGGGCAGTCGAAATCTTTTGTGATGACAAACTATGGCGACATTCATTGTAATGTGTGCACTGATGGTAACTTGATTGTGTTCGCGTGCGATCTTGTCTCCAAAGCTGACGACTATTGCATAGCACCTGGTAAGTTCCTGAAAAGATTTCGACAGCCCTTCTGTGCCTCGCACGAAAAATTACTATTTTGGATTTCGTAGACTGTTCCGTCGAAGACGCTCCTTCAGGTTTGCAGTGTCTTCCCTAGTGCGCCTTCAATCCGCAACGGCGCTTTGCACTACAAATCTGCGTGCGCCATCTAGTTAAGTGTCAGAGAAGCTCGCAATGAGCCGTCTGCGCCGTGAATTGGCACGTTGGGCGATTTGAATTTCATGTAGGTTATACAGAACCGTTCCCACCGCCGACGGTGCGGCAGACTCAATTTGCTCCTCACTTCACTGTTGGTACAGAGCGCTTCTGGGTCGCTGCGGAGAAGCTTTAACGCTAGCATATGAACGCGTGCGCGAGGGATTGAACTCAATTACACTCAAGTGTAGAAGAGCGATGATTACCTGACAATACCGCGAAACCTCACAAACCACACCGCTCTCCCCTTCGGCGTAGTTTTTCATGCGATGGAGAGGAATAACTGCTCTCCAACCAAGGGTATTTCGCGTAGAGCCAGAAAGGTTATATGACTGCAATTCTCCAAAACGATAGAATTGTGACCTCAACAAGAGACTCACTCTGTGCACGAAATACGGCATAAGTGAGGAGCCAAGCTTCACTCTGGCCGCGAGGTGCGGCTCTGGATGGGAACCAAGTAAAACTTGTAATACAAATTGTCTATTGCTTCTTCGAAGTTGGCTCTGCTACTACAACGAAAAACTAGAATTTAAGAGGTAACGTACGGAAAAGTAGATCATTGGGACCCGAGGAGTTATGCTAGTACTGTCAACTTCAAGCAACCCTTTACAATGCCGCACATCTTCTACGAAGACGTTTGATCATGCGTCAGAGAAAACAGACTCGAGTTTGATGGGTTTTGAGCCAATGCTACATACACTAGAAAATCCTGGAGACAATGCTTTCATTTTCGCCAATCTGAAGCAAGAAAGAAGAAAGAGCTTCCTAAACACTTGCATGAGAAGAAGGCCACACTCACGTTCCTTCTCAAAGTCGATTGTAGCCTATAGGATGAGCACAGAATTGAGCCTTTTGTCCTGTTGCTAGAATCTGATTGGCCTCTAGTACTTCTATCCAAGTGGTCATGAGCCTAAATATTGTGAGAAGGCTTGCTCTCAAGAGCGCATGGATAAGTCCTGACGAAGCCAGAAGCCCCCAGAAGCGCATCTAGTGGCGCTCTTTGTCTCCGCAGTGCTTTTCGCAGTGGTGCTGAGTTGTTCTAAGCATAGTGATGAGTATCTTCCTGTAATGGCAGAGGCAACATCAGGCTTAAAAAGCAAATACTGACACGATCAATGAAAAGCTAGGTTGGCGAAGTTGATGATTTATGCAGCACCGGAGCTATTATGAGATGTACGACACTCCGAATACAAACTGTGCATCAAAACAGTAAATGCTAACGTTCCACACCGAATAGCAGATTCTGTTAGTTACGTACGCACCTTTCATAATGCCCGCAATTGTACCGGGCTTGACGACATGACAAGAGCACTATAAAAAAATTACTCCCTTATTGAGGCGGTTGACAGACGCTACACAAAACAAGAGGCATGAGTGAGACGCGCGAAAACCCGATAACTGTACTAGTCAAATCTGCAAAGTACTTTACATGAAGCGAGGGTATAGGGCAAGCGTGAAGACAGGGGACATGACCGATACGACAAATGCGAAACGGCCTCAATTCCTTCGGCGCTTCTTCTCGTTCTTCCTCTCCTGATTCCTGACAAAGATGACAATCAACCTCTTGACGATTCCGACAAAGTCAATGAGCAAGTCCATGGCATGTCCATGGCAATCCCTATCCCCTCTGTTGGCCTTCTCCACGATGACCTGCGTATCGTACAGGACGAAAGCGCACAAGAGTATGAGGCCGCCATAAATCATGGGTCCGAACCCGACGTACTTGGCGGTGAACATGTTGACAAAGTGCAGCAGAAGCAGACCCCAGACGCCCGCCCACAAAAACGCGCCGAGCGCGAGGTAGTATCCGCGGCGAGCAAAGAGGGCGGAGATAGAAAAGCCTGCAAAGACGACGACGGCGGCGACGAAGGCGAGGACGGAGATGGCGGGGTCAACGTTGACAGCGTAGTTGAGCAGCGGCCCCGCGGCGAGCCCGTCCAGAAAGGCGAAGAGGTAGAAGGCGAGCGCGCGGGATTTGGAGTAGCGGGTGGAGAAGGAAGTGAAATAGATGAAGGTGGGGAAGACGAGGAAGGAGGCGATACGGCCTAGGGGGAGGGTGAGGTACAGGTCGAGGACGGCGCCGGCCGTGGCCAGGAGCACGCCGAGGAAGAGCGTGGAGTAGACATTGCGCAGGTGCTTCTGGACGGAGACGTCCAGAGGGGTCTTCGAGAGAAAGAAGGCAAGCGGGGCGGCAGTGACGGCGGACATGGCGCGAAGCAAGTAAGACGGGGCGGTTGGGAGACGGGAACTGGGAAGGACGGGAGGGGAGGCAGGTGTGGAATTGGGAGGTTGAGTGCAACTTATATGTGCGGATGAAGTGGGCCAGGTTTTGTGCGCATGTCCGGTGTGCCGGGACTGTCTGGAAAGACGGTGGGGCATCACGGTGGGGCATCAATTCAGTGCCCCGAAAGTATCCGAAAATCTACCTTCCTCTTCCGTGAGTTGTAAATCGCGCCAACAATGTACGCCTGCCCTTGTTAATCAATTTTCCGCCAATCACGACACTCTAAACCGCGCCAAAAGGCCACCAAGCAATTCCCACCAAGCAATTCCCACCAAGTACCCACCACGAATCGAGCAACTACTCTGCGCCCTTCTCAATTACATTGTTCGCTCCAACTACAGCAGGACCGTTGCCACTGCCGTCCACGGAGGGCGCACCGGTTCGCGAAATATGATCAGAGGGAGATCGCCCGACCGGCTCTTCGCTGTGACTCTGCTCACCGCTCCTCGGATCCTCGCCACACGACACCTCCTCCCAACCGCCAAAGGCGCCGCTTCCCGCTCCAAGCGGCACACGCTCTCCACCTCACACCTCCTTAAAATTGCGAGCACACTAAATCTTCTTGAGCTCTGCCACAACCCTTCCTCCTCCCCACTGCCGTCCCCTGCCGTCCTCCCCTCCTCAACGTCCCCCCCCCCCCCCCCCCCGTTCCCCGCGGCCAACCATGGACTACACCACCGCCGCCTTCGCCGCGTCGCCGTCCCCGCGCCTGTTCACCACCCCCTCGCGCCTGTCCTGCTCGTGCCTAATGCCGTCTTCGTTCAGCGGGCGCAGCCTCCCAGCGCTCCCGCTGCGCTCGCGCGCGCGCATGCTGCGCATGCAGGCGACGGACCCAGAGCCACCGCAGCCGCCTGCGGGAGAACAGGCCGAGGGCTCGGAGCCCGACCCGACCACGTCCGCCACAGAAATTCTCGACACCCTGCGCGCGGAGGCCGCCGCAGATGACACCCCATCCGAGCGCTCCATGCTCGGTGTGTATCGCGACGTCGATGGGAAGAGCAACGTTTGGGCCGTCGAGCCAGAGGAGAAGACGGATACCGGACCTCAAATTTCGAAGACTACCATCATTGTCGCTTCTGCCATCTTCATTGTCGTTGCCTTGCTCGTGCTCCCGTTGCTCCCGTTTACAAACCCCGATCAGATCTGATTAAAGCATCTAATTTTAAGCAAAGCTAACTTGCCCTCCTCTGTCAGCGGTACGAGTTTCTTTCTTCTACCTGTCGTTTGATGGTTTCTTCTTTCAATCGTTCAAGTATCCCCGCGCCGGCAGAGTTGGCGTCCTCGTCCTTAAGTAGTGTCAATGCCGCCATCGCAGCCTTGAGCTTTGCTCGTTTCACCGTCGTCCCAAACCCTGTTGCGATCTTCTCCCCTAGAATGTACACAGCCATGCATTTCTTCCCTCGCATGCCTACCGGCGGTGGTTCAAGGTCGTATCGCGGTGGCGTCGGACTCAGTTTCCATACTCGCGTTACCAATTCCAATAATTCCTGACTCGGGTGTCGATCGTCACGTCGCGGGTCCGCGTTAATACGCAACGAGTCACTCAGGACATCCATGCACACCCGCCATGCTTCTTGCAAACCAGAATCCACATAGATTGCTCCCAGTACAGACTCGAAAATATCTCCCAGTACCTTTGGTGCCGCTATTTCACTGAGAGACTTCTTCAACCCGCCAACCGGTCCAATACCTGCCTCTCGCTCTGCCTTTATGGCTTTGGTAAAGCTTGCAATTTCTGCAGTGAGGTGAGTTGACCCATGGTACAAATATTTGTGCATTCCCATGCGCACCGTAATTCTCGCGAAAGCTTCGTTGCTGACCACGTTTCCTTTCAATGTTGTCAGTTCTCCGGGTCCAAGTTCTGGGTATCTATTGTAGAGGTACACAATAACGCACAGATCCGCTATGGCATCCCCAAAGAATTCTAGACGCTGGAAGGTTTGCTGTTCAGATGTGTTTCTTCCACTGGATGTCAAGTACGTGTGGTGAGTTAAGGCGCAAAGGAGTAGCGGACGATGCTTAAACTTGTACTTCAACTTTTTCTCCAGTGGTCCAAATTGTTCTTCCCATGGCTTCTTGGGGCTTGTTATCCTCCAGTCTTCCGGATATGCCTCCAAAGATGTAGACATTGGAGGCTTTGACCCTTTCGGGTGCATTGCATGAATCGCCGAAAGCAATAGTTCGTTGTGTGTCGGCTCTTCATCTTCAAAGATTTTGCACACCTCCAGCAGTTTGTATCCTGCTTTGTATCCGCTTTCGAGTTCTATTCCTGTGACAGGCCTGGTACTTTGGTCATCACGGTAGTCAGGAGGGCTATTTCTACCACTGCCTCCATGTCGTGCTCCTTCATCTTCCATATCTGATGTGGAATCATCATCAACGCTATCCATCCCTTCATCCCCTGACGAGGACTCAGAGCTGACATTGCTACCCGAATAACATCCGAACAGATTTGTACCAGCAGATATCCCTGTAGGCTCTCGCGCGAGTGCCATTTTATTCTCGTCACTGGGAACGTCCTCGGGAACGTCCTCTCTGGGGGCAGCTTTCACCCCAAACAAAAAGTATGCCCCGCAAAGCGCTTCGACAACGTCTGCAAGTGCCTTGACAGTCACTTTTTGTGCTTTCCCCCTCACATCACTACCGGGTGGAAGCCACTCTTCAATTGTATCCTCTTGAAAGTTTAAATAATGATGCAACCCAAAGCGATGACCCAAGCGATGCAACCTCTCATTGGAGACCCGAAAGGCACGGGCATTGTGCATCTGTCCCTCTGAATCATGAGGCCTGCGGGCAAACAGACGCTTCGTGCAGGACACCTTTAACACGGCATCCCCAAGAAACTCTAGTCGTTCGTAATTCTTTGACTTGTTTACATGGTCTGCAGTCACACACTGTACCAATTCATCGAGATCTCCAGGGATTCCGACTCTCTCATCAAAAAGTCGTCCCAGCTCGCACACTGAAAGATGCTTCTCAAGACGAAATAGTGCGGCCGGTAAAAATAGGGCACCGGTTGAAACCGGGTACAGGTGACACAGCTCTGGTATTAACACTCGTCTATTCGCACCCTTCTTGGTTAGCTCACTGCACACAGAGATGACAGAGTTATCACGGATCGCCCCCAGAAATTGGTCATAGCTGCATGTTGACGGTCTTGATGCAACAAGCAGAGGTTGATCCAGAAACTTGATCTCTTCGACAGAATGATTCTTGTAGTATTTCTCGTAGGAACAACGAATTTTGCCAACCCAAGTTTTTCTTTGCTTACGGACGTTTCGATCAGCATCAAACAAAGAAGGGGAACATTCTTCATGTTTTCGTTTTCGCCCGACAGTCCTGGGGCTGCCTATTAGACAATTCACAGTTTCGTTCCATTTTACAAGCCCAACATCAATTCCAGTAGGATGCCTTGTTTTCTCCAGGCAACCTAGAATTCCTCGTCCGTTCACTCTAGGTGAAGATTCATCTGGGCTTGGATTATCCGAGCCATCCCCCGTTCCAACGACACCCGATGCCTTTGCTTGTTGTGTTAACGTTTCTTCAGAAGCCACCGTAAGAACCAAACTGGACAGATCTGGATGGGGGACAAGGGTGCCATCATCATTCAATTTGAACTTCTTCGATCGTATGTGTTTTGATAGGGGACAGAAACCATAATGAAGCCGCCCAGACAAGATCACATTTTCACCTGGAAAGCTCGACTTTATGAGCCGTCCCTCTAACTTCCCAAATTGCTCCGGCTGAAGTGCATTGCTACCCAGTATTCCTTCAGATTCCTTCTTGACATTAACAGAAGAAAGAAGATCGCGAACTGAGTCCCAGTCTATCTGACATGCAAATTCTGGCCATTTCATTTCAAGCGGTTTTGAAGCCGGAGGAAAATATTTCCTCACCAACTCTCTCATATTGCACGTTGCATCATCGGATATGTCTCCTCCTTTAGATACCTCCCCTTCGCGGGGACTTTGAAGCCCCGTATCCGCCTCTTGGATTGCCGGCAGAACTAAGTATCGACGAAGATATGAAGGGTCAGTCCCCTCCATCTCTTCAGTGGATAATTGGTGGGATGTTAGTTGCATACCACGAATGCCATCCCAATAGACACCGTTTTTTTTTGATGATGGTGAAGAAAGTGAAAATATTGCTGATGTGTATTGCCGACCTTCATTGATTTGATCATCTGATAAGGAGACCTGACCTTGGTAGTCGAGCTTCATGCACGCAGCATATCCAGTAGTGTTTCCAGCGTGAGATGATGTCCCTGGCAAAAAAATTGTCCGATCACGATCGTCTAGCTCTTCACTCAAGACTAAAATAAAATCCTCAACCCCAAGCTTTCGCACTTTTGCACCAGCAGGTAATCCCTGCACTCCCGGGACTGTCTCCAAAACAAGCACCCTGTACAAAAAACACTTTTGGTGACTCTTGCTTGGTCCCAGCAACGCCAGAGGTGGGCGAGAATAATAGACGTGGGCGCTGCTACCCTCATCTTCTTCATCCGATGGCGCTTTTGCCAGTTTGGCCATCAAATTTATTTTTTCCATCTCTTCTGGTTCGCATTTCGGTGAGGTATCCATGTCCGAATCTGAATCAGATGAAGTCAAAGAAAGCACCTTGTCCGTCAAGCTATCATCCACCATTCCTGGCAGTCCTGCCTCCTTCGAAATTCCAATTTCAATTGACTTGGCAGTCACTTTTTCTGCAACAACTCTAGGACGACCCAGGGACTCTGCTTTCTCTTGTTTCTCTCCATCTCCTTGACTCTTCTTGCTGCGTTCTTTGAATTGCACAACCCGGCATCTTCCGCCGCTGCCATCCATGGACGGGTCAGGAAGTGAATCATCAAATCTTAAGACAAAAGGACAAGGAGGGAGAGGTCTATTCCTCTGCCCTCGAGTACAATACGTTCTGGCCACAACTAATACGTGTCCTTCACCCCCGGCAAAATTAGAGACTGCTTCGTCATCAGTTTCTTCCCCTTGCCATGTCGTTTTCTGCCCATCATCATCCGTTGAATACGTTTCAAACGATTTGGCTTCCTCGCAACCAAGAACTACGCGCACTTTAAGTGCATGGAAGACCGGAGTTGCTCGTATAACTTCCCCGAGAGCGCAGGTAATGGCGGGTCGTCCTGCGTGAATGATTGCTCGAAGCTGACTGTCCTCTGTGGACGCTGCGTATGCCCGTTGCAGCTCGTTTAGAAGATGAAGAACTTTCTCGGATAAACCTACTAACGATATATGAGAGGAGAGCGGAAAAGCAGAATTTACAGATTCTCTCGTAGTTGGAATCCCGGCGAGCTTACCGGCATAACGCTGCTTCCATCTTCTCTGATAAAGGGCAACTCCAAGCGGGCCGACCTGTTCGAGCAAAAAATCCAACTCTGATAGCTTTGCTCTTTCCCGTTTTCCTTTTGAAGGAGGCTTTCGCCGACCTCCATTCGCGACTGTATTCACACACCCAGAAGACGACTCAACCGAGTAAAACAGATACTCAACATCTATCATACACAAATCCTCTGTCCTGGAGCCCTTACCGTAGCAACTGGGCCATTCTGCTTCCTCTTTTGGGTTGGATGAGAGGAAGCGACAGAAGAAATTGTGCTCAATCGGGGGTACTTCGTCGGGCAAGAGATCGCGATCCGTGATCGTGAGCACTCGAGGTCGTTGATTCATGGGCAAGGCACGGTAGAAGTCACGCATGAGAAGAGCACACGGGTGTCCCGGTTGCGAAAACACAGGCATATCACCGACGTCTGCGCCAAAGGCAACGTCAAAGACCAAAAGCGCAACCCTCTGCAGGTACAGATAGTTGAGCTCCGCGTCCAAATGTGCAGGGCAAGGGAGTGTAATAATGACGTCTTTAAGCTGAAAGACGGAATCAAGCGCCCGGCTATCTCGAGAGCGATCCCGGGGATACTTCCTTTTTCTCTCAATACCGTGAGTGGCAACAGACATGCTAGAATTCTCCGTGAGCAGTTCATGCAAGACCATGGCGCGGCGGTTGTTGGCCGCGACGACAAGAATAGAACGTGGTGGATTGGTGACGGCGAACGCATCCTGCGCCCTCCTATTCTTCTCGGCCTCAAGGAGACTTTCCAGCGCTCGCACGAAGGCGAGGTCGTTCGGCGCCGGCGGAGTGAGTCGCAAAAACTGCGGCACGTGCACCCCTATGTTCTGCAGGGGCAGCCTAGCAAGAGACCTCTCCAACTCCGGGCAGAGCTCAAGCATAGGCTCTTCGCCCTCGATCTCCTCGCCATCGAAATCGGAGCCCTCGGGGCTCGACACCAACCCGCGCACCTCCTCCATGCTCGGCGGCTTTGGCACGGTTTTCACGCGTGGAATGGACAGTCGCAGCTCTGGATCATCCGGCGCGAGCAGGGAGCCGACGACGCGTGGCGGGGCGTGGAGCGGAGTCCCACACGGCGAGTCGGCGTCAAGGTCGATGACTTCCGTGGGCTGGGCCGGCCGGGCTGTCGGCGGCGGATGTCCGCCCACGCGGTGAGGACGCCGCGGAGACTGGATGGGGGAGGTAGGCGAGACGGGGGAGTTGGGTGCGCGGGCGGGGTCTCTG